TTTCTACTTTGAGTTATCATTGGCTCATATAGGTGTTTTCTTTTCTTGTGATTGGCTGTCGTCAGTGATTTTGATTTATTTAGTTTCGGCTTTACGACTCTCAATCGAGAACTGCGCATGCTCCAGTGCTTTAATTAAGTTAGCTCAAACTTGGTTATTTTTTAACTTTGGCATGTGAAAGAACTAAATAGAAACAGAAGGCGAAAAGAGGAGATGCAGTCATTGGAAAAAAATATTGGTTTTATGAATTAAACTTTTCCGATATTTATCTTCCTCATATTTTTCTCGTACGTGATAAAAAAATAACTCACCTTCAGGTATGCAACTGGTTTTTCCGTCCCCCGTATATCCATGGTAAAATACATATGGTACAATACAATACTAGGATCAAAGTTGATTTACACATGTTGCCACATCCTTCATGCACTCATGGATACCATTTTGGCACTCGTCGACATCTTTAATACAGCATCTAAGGCATTACTAATGTCACCAGAAAAGCACCTCTACGGATATTTCTTGCACTCATTCAATTTGAAGGAGATCAGACGACTGATGTGGAATTTATTGGTCTTGGATTGACCACGGTTGGTGCTCGGGAATTATTCAGCTGACCCGTCTTCCCTATCTTTATAATGCACAATTCCTGGTACGAACAAAGTTGACAAAATGATGTTGAAATTAACCTGAAGAGATAAGGCGGCTATGGCGCCTTATATCTTATTATCATGTTATTTGCAGCACACTGAAACGACTTAAATTCAATCAAAATTTGTCCTACAATCGTGCAGTACTAACGGTATATCGACTCAGTGAACCGAAGAATGATTAAATACCATTAGACAACGAGACTCCTGTTCATATCCAGCGTATACATTAGATATTCCTGTTAATGACCTTTCAACCCCTAAACTGCACAAGTTACGCTGGAGCCACCTGTGTTGCTTGTAGATAAAAATTAAATGTAATTTCGCGTTTTCCTGCGGTCTTTCCTCCTCTTTTAACATCTACAGCCACTGCACCCTCGGCAATATTAAACGCATGAAAAGTCTGTGAAAATCGTTGACGCTGCTGGTACACTCATACACTCGTCACGTTTAGACAAGCACCAAAAAAATTATATAGGATTATGAATCAGCTAAATTGTATGCGTAGAAAAATTTAAATGGATACTAAGATTTTACTATTTCCGGTACAGTTTTTTTTCCGTGGCCATGAAACCTTTCGGTGGAACCGCAGTTTAAGTGTTTGGTCGGTTTTTAGCGCTGACAGAAGGTCTCCGAGAGGGAAACACTTACCCTGAACGAGTGCAGACCAAAGAAAAACAAAATAGAAAGGTTCCAAACGGCACGTGAGTAAGTTTATGACAATAAAAGAGACTCCAAATTCAACTTGGACACAACGTGTGTAAGATGACTCACAAGTCATCAGACGGCGTTTAGAAACATACGAGACGAGACCAAAACGGAAACGATGGAGGTGCATACATGCATTAGTAAACAGGATTATGACAGCGCACGTGCAGCCTAGCCTTACCTTCGTAATGTTCTCCTGTGTATCCAGGTGGATATATACACTGATATCCCTTGTCCGTAAATCCAACCAGGCAGGTTGCCTTGTTGTAGCACTTGTTGAAGTAGCATTTATTCTGGTGGAAAATAATACAGCTGATTATTTCAGAATATTTATAATTGCTGAGCCACCTTAAACCAATGGCACATGATGATCAGGTGATTCATTACACGCCTGTAGTTATCGATAGCGATCTATGCTGATGAATCCTACGGGGCACCCAAAGCGATCTTTATTTTTATTATTTTTTCGATTGCAATGTTCTCAGGCTCCAATTTGAAAAGTTTTGTTATGAATTCTCCTAATCTGGTTCGATGAGGACTCGCAGAGGGTTTAAGAAAATCGCTTGAATGGTAAACAAGTTTGAAGAACGGCAAATAATTCTTACCTCCGTTCCTCTATACATTAAGCTGCCGTCGGTTTCAGTTCATTTGGGTATTGTAATTGGTCCGAATCACTCAGCTGGCACATCATTTCATCTTTTTCTCTTGGTACCATGTTGATCGATGTACATGTGTACATTTCAGAAATCAAAGGGAAATTCTTACCGGAACAACGAAAAAAGTTTCGTTTCATATGTAATTCCATTTGTTTAATTTTTTCTCAAGTTACTCAGGTCTAATGAGTGTCATATCTATTCTGATCAATTATTTATCAGCGTTTTTCTGCAGGCCCGATTGTTTAGGGGACAAACATTTGGATCGTTGACGATGACCACGAAACATTTTGTTTTCCACTGAATTTCAGCTCTCAATACTTATTTATTGATAGTTTAATGATGGAATTAATCTAGATAAATTCTTATATTTTAAAATAAAAGGGCGTACTTGCCTCGAATTGCCTGTAGTGCTAATTAATTAACTGTATGGTAATGTATATAGGTTCAACAACTTTTTAATATTGGGTTCTGTCATCATAACATATCTCATATAATCTCTTAGGAACAAGTAATCATTGACTTTAAAATACGTTGTCCTTAAGAATTAATTTGAGAGCCGACTGAAAACCTTTAACATTTAGTCAGACTGTCATAACAGTTGCCAGTACCTGTTTTAACGTGTGGATAGCGAAATGCATTGTGAGGATAAATTATCTCTCTCAAGAACATAGTGCAAGGGCCGTGCTACTTCGCTTACCCGGACATTTCGATCTGAAGTCGAACGCAATGATCGTCGGGTCAACACATCTCCCACAAATCAGACAAACAACCGAAAAAGGGGAAGCCAGCCTTAAAGTATCAGTAAAAACTTTCATATAATACGCGAAAAAGAATGTTAAAGTTAACTCACCATGGTTTGCAACTGTTTGGTGTAAAACTAGCCTCCGAGCAAAAAAATCAGAGATTAGAAAGAAAACATGTTGCGGCAACAGCGCCTCATCTTCAGAGTTTGTCAGAAAGAAAATTCTTAGCTTTTTTTTGACAGTAATTCACTTTTTAAGGAGACTGTCAAAAGCGCGTGGAAACTATATCACCCGTAGGATGCTTATTTCTCGCATGGAGCCAAAAGGAGAAATTTTATCTCTTATTGTGATTAGTTATAAATCCCAAAGCGGCTGTTGTTTATGAAGTTCTTCCAATGTCATTTGTGCATAGAAATATTCAGTAAGGAGTCTCTTGTTTTGGCTCTTCACAGAAAACAATGATAAAAACAAAACGAGTTCGAATGAAGTCAAAACAGTGCCTCTGTTTGACAAAAAGACTGAATAACTCAGTAAATAACTCAGTAAAATGACGGACGGGTTTTAGTGTTTCCTTGTTTAATAGCATAATTGGCCCGCGGGAGTAAAAACCATCATTGAAGATTGAATTTGCCTCTATATTCAATATAAATGCGTTATTGACCAAGTGTAAAGTAAAGACGGCTGGATATTAGCCTTTCAAGTTAGCGGGGATTCTATATTAGAGTTCCTCGTAAACGCAAGGGATCACGGGTGATCATCTTTGAAGAGAAACAACACAATTAACAGTCGAACCTGTATTGAGCGGAACTGTATCAGGCGACGGTTATCAAAGTCCCGAAATTGTTCCCTTAATTACTGTCATTTTCTCCTCCATTAAGCGGTCACCTTTGTTAAGCGGTTGAGTTCACCCTTTAAACTGAAGTAATAATTTAAGAAGACGCCTCTTTGATACCCTTGCTTCATCGGAATGTTTTAATTACGAGGGAAGGCCATGTAAACACCTATAGCTTAATTTATACTGGTAGAATAAAAACTGTTTGATTATTGGTATTGGGCAAGATCGGCTGAGAACGAAAATCGACAACGGGAAGATTTGCCACAGGCTGATTGTAGCCGTGTACCTGAAATATTTCTTCTGTTCCGATCTGTCGGTAGGACCGAGTCACTAACTGAGAATTTTGAGTACTGAAAATTACGCCCATTGTTTGTTTTTGTAGTGTTTTAACGCATTTTTTCATCTTGAACCGTAGCGCGTACGCACTTTATTCGGGGATTGTCGATCCTTTTACCTTCATTCATTAATAAGATTGACTTTTCTTGTCAGTAAAGGGCTATTGTGTTTATATGATAAACAAAATAATATATTGTTGCTGGTAGATATGAAATTTCTCTTCTCGTGTTCAACTCGACATCTCACTTCCGAGGTAAACGCTCGAAGAGAAATTCGATATCCACGCGCGCCCATATATTATTCGTTATATGTCGTCATGGTAGCAGTTTGTTTGAAGTGCTTATTCACACCTGTCTTAAGACAGACTTAATTTTGCACGCTAAAATTCATAGGATTTTTTTGTTATTCATTTTTGACTGCTTTATTCGTTTTGGTGGTTAAAAATGTGGAAAAGTCCCCAAAAGAGTATATTTTAAAAAAGGATTCACGTTTCGTGATGTTTCTCTTGTTTAATTCAAAACGTGCGATTTAAATGTAATCGTTTAAATATCGAATACAGTACCGAAGCTAAAATGATGGTCTGAACTCCCGCATAACAAAGGAATAAGAAAACACAAAACACATCATTCATTTTCCTTTGTTTTTATTCTGTCAGTTTACAAAACTTTGGGATTGTTTTGAATTTCAATTCCACCAAGAATACAGAAGACTTACAATTATCAAAATTAATTCAAGCTCAAAGCTCAAATTATTTAGTCTTCGTCTGGGAGGTTATTTAATGATATTAGACATGATCGTCATTATTTTGATAATAATGACATATTAGTGATAGTTACAGTTTAAATAGAAACGACATGCTCTCTGCAGTAGTTCCTAGTTTCTTTTCTTTTCTTTTTTGTGTCGTTTCGTTTTCTTCTTTCCATTGGGGTTAATTATTAACGATGATGAGCTATAAGATTTGGCCGTTTTGCTCAGTGCGAGAGTTATCTCACGCTATTGAAATTCTCGTATACAAGGAATTACCGCAAGAAAAAGGCTGAAAAGTTCCTTTGTTATAAGATTCTGAGTATGAAGCTCTATCGCTGTCCGGTGCTTTCTTTCCTGTTTCTACTTCTTTTATTTGGAGGCTGGTTTTACATCTTGACGGGTGCAAACCAAGGTTAGTTAACTTTAACTTTCCTTTGCGTGTGAGAGTTGATCAAGAATTTTATTGATTCTTGAAGGCAATCTTCATTTTAAATTTTCGTGGTCGTGTGTTTGATGTCTATTGGTGGCTCAATGATCATTGCGCTAGACCTGAGAGCGGAAGGTGTGGGCTCGAGCACCAGCCCGGCGACTGTGCTATGCGTTCTACCTTCACAGGGCCTTTCTCTATCCAGGAGTTAAAACGTTTGCCGGAAAACTGTTTGGACAATCTTACTAAACGTTAAGGACAGTCCTTTACTGAAGACATGCGCACTTATACTCAGTACATATACACTTAGTACATATACACCATAGTAAGTTCTAAAGAAAGCTGAGGGAGTGCGCAATTGACGGATCGGAAAGCAAGGTTGAACCGAAAATTCGGTCCTAATTCAACTCATCGATAGGGCTGTGATTTAAAACATAATGTGATCATTCGAAGAAAGTCGAGTGCAACCAAATTTGTTATTTTGTTGATAATTATAGCTAAAAAAGTCCACGAATTAAGTGAACCAAGATTTTAGGAGAAGTAAACACTTATGGAAACTCTCTAGACTAGTTTCATCACAAAATGCAATAAATTTGTTCAACACTTTCCTGGGGAAGTTTCCTCAATTTTATTTTTGCGAAGAACTTATTCAGATCAATTTTACCATCAAACAATTAAATATATACGTATTAGAAGCTAAAATTCTGTGGGGAAAAAATATTTTTTGGTCATTATCAACTAGTTTTGCCCCCAATAGATCGAGCTTGCAGGGAAACGCTAATAAAATGATGAATCAAAGAGAGGATGAAGTCGGCGTGGCTGTTTCAAAGAAAGACAGTTAATTGATTATCGGTGACGTTATGTTAAGCAGGATGTAACAAATTTTGTAAACATCAAAATGATCTCTGCGGTAGATCACGTTTGTGGAAACATCTAGAGACTTTGACTTTGAAAATGACACGCGTGGCTGGCTCCTGTTCAAGGGCAACCCACGCACTTTTCGCCTTGTTATTGTTTATCAATTTTAAAGATCTTCGATACGCGTAAATATTTTCGATACAGAAAGTGGTGGAGCAATAATTGAAAAGAACAATAAGAGAGAGAGATGCTCTCAATGGTTTAAATGGATTTTTATGGCTTCTTTACGCGACCTCTGATTGCTTTTTAACCCGGATTAAATTACCATGCTGGGTAAACGTTTGTAGGCTTTTACACCAAAAAACTAGTGAAGTCAAGCCAGCCCTCCTTGCCAAGCAACCGTCGTTGAGAGCCGAGTTGACTCGGCGAAAAGTGGTGTAACTTCCTCAATTTTTTCATGTAAATACTAACCCGGGCTAGCACTTTCGATTAGATAACCAATTTTGCTTTGTTTTTCCACCATTCCGTCACTCCTGTCTAATATACAGATAGCTGTCGGCGTCTCGTGTTCCTGCAACCAACGTATGGATATGCATTGGTGGGTCATGTCCTCAAAAACATTTCATTACCGGTCGGTATGCATATGTATAGTCGCTGCAGAAATTGGTGTACCATGGAAGACAGATGTACATCGATCAACATGGGACCAAGTAAAAGGGATAAAGTTTTGTGTCAGATAAGTGACTCAGACCAATTGCAACACCCAAATGATCTGAAACCGATGGCAGACTTTATGTACAGGGGTACGGAGGTAAGGATATGATATTTGTTTTGAGTTTTTTGTCTACTTGTAAGCCTTAGGTATCGTTCAAAATATTTTCCTTGCTCCTCTGTGAGTTCTCACTTGTAGTTAGCCTGGGCGATTTCATCAAAAAACTTTTCAAAAGAAGCCCAGAAACACCGCCATCGACCAAAATGAAAACACCAAAACCTTCAAGTATGTCCGGCATGAATCCACAACATTCAATGATCACTTGCGATTTGCGCTGGCGATGAAACTCGCCGCGATGGTGTAAGAAAGCAGCAAGTTCCTGGTATAACGTTGGCGTAAAGAAGCTTAGCGAATATGAATGTTTTGGAAATGATATAAGTGAAAAATTAAAGAACATGGAAAGATTGCGCCTAAAAAAGGAGGCAGATTATTTCGGTTTGTTGTGTAGAAACTCACACTTGCTGTTATACGCGCAATACGAGCGTGGTCGTCTTATTTTGTTCATCATTCGTATGATTACAGACCGAATTGGACTCCAATCGGTTCTTTTACCATTAATAATGGAACACCGGAAAAATCTGTTGCGTCTAATCTGAGACGATTCATGTACAAGTTTTTCTGTGTTCTCATACTACCTTAAGGGATTTTCTAGTAATTGGAGTGCGTATATTCTCTTCAAATAAGGCTAACTATATTTTTTTACCAGAACAAATGTTGTTTCAACAAGTGCTACAACAATGCAACTTGCCTAGTTGGATTTACAGACAAGGAATACAAGTGTATGTGTCGGGCTGGTTACACGGGGAAGCATTGTGAAAAAGGTGAGGAGTACTGATAGCTCCAAAAATCATGTTTAGTATTGCATTTATGCGTCTCTTTTGTAACTGTATTTTAGTTTGATCTCGTATGTCTCTTGCTTCCGTGTGCTGTATCACACTCTGTGCCCGTTTTGGTTTTGGTTTCATTTAGGGACTCAAGTTTCCTCCTGTCGTTTCACGATTGTCTGTATCTCTTTTTTTTTTTTCCTTCACTTGTGTTTTGTGTGTTGCCTCGTTTTATCTGATGATTCGCGTCTCGCTCTTTATCCCTTGTAGTTTTCGTTTTATTCATCCACTCGTGTTCCGTTTGTTTCCTCGTGTCATCTGTTGATTCGAGTTCCTCTCATCTCTTTTGTGGTTTTCATTTCTTTCTTGTGGGTCCTTGTGTCTTGTCATGCGATAACACGCCAAGAGATAGGAAAAGAGATTAAAGGGTTTTTTTTTATCCCCACAGCATTCAATGCCGTTTTTACAAATAACAATGCCTCAGGTAGATATGGTCCACCAACACAAGGCAGTCATTACACAGGTCAGGATCATGACGGACAAGCGACATTATCCAGCGGTATTCAACAATGGACTGTGCCTTATAGTGGCGAATACAGAATAGAAGCAATAGGAGCAGCAGGAGGGTACGATTCAACACCTAACAGCTCTCAGTACCGCGGAAGAGGAGCGAAAATGATTGGAACATTCCGTTTAAACAAGGGTGAAGTCATTCAGATACTTGTTGGTCAAGAAGGAGGAATAAACGAGTGGAATAAGTCCTCTGCAGGTGGTGGAGGCACCTTTGTAGTGAGAGGAAGCAGAACACCTTTGATAATAGCTGGAGGCGGAGGAGGCGGTCAAAGTGTTATAGCAAGACATGGAGGATGCGACGCCAGCACAAACACAACAGGAAATCCTGGATACAAATCATGGCCGGGGGGTAGTAATGGACATGGCGCACAGACTGCCGATGATCAATGGGCAGGTAAGGCGGAATATTGCGATGATCCCTTCCAACTCCGCTCCTCATTTAGCTATAGAGAACACTATTCACGTTTCGTTTTATCAAGCCTTGCACGACATCTTTAAAGACTATTAATAAATACTTCGAAATGACACAAAATTGTAAATCATCTGCCATAATTGCGCAATATTGAGGTAACATACGGAATTTTGTTTATGAGTGGCAAAACTTTGGAAAACTAACTCGTTCATATAATCACTCGTTCGTTTTTCCGAGTTTTCTAACTCTTGAATATAAATCCCTACGTCGTACTTGCTATGAAGAAATCTGTAGAAGTCTGAGAAAGGTTGTCGCAAAAAAAGGACAAAAGTGCACGCCGCGACAATCTTGAAAGTTAATCTGGTATCTGGTAATTAGTCGATTTTAATGGGCCAAATCAATTGATTGATACCTTGTGCTTACCGTGAAGTTTTCTCAGATTTCCATGTAATTCTGAGGTAAAAGAAACGTGACCTGACAACTACCCACATTACCTCTCGGAGTAGTCGCGTACACTTTTACACTTTTTGGCCGACAACCTTTCTCGAAGCAGCTGTATCCACCAAACGGGTCGCGTCCCAATACGAAGGCATCACGTAAAGGATTGACCACACTGATATGAGTGCATGTGAGCGTTTTGTTTTTTCGCAATAAAAATGCCAATAATCGAGAAGCGTAACATTTCAGTTTAACACAGTTCCGTTTTTGTTTATTATTGAAATTTTTTTCAGGTGGTGGTGGTGGTGGGTTTTACTCCAGTGGAAGAAGTAGTGTAAATTTTGGCGGAACCGAGGGAAAAGGTGGAGAAGGTGGTAAGGGATTCCTTCAGGGAGGGGTAGGTGGAAGATCCTTGCATAACGATATCGTTGGTGGGTTTGGAGGAGGAGGTGGAACTCACGGATTCAGAGCAGGAGGGGCAGGAGGAGGAGGACACAATCAGCAAAATGATTGTTGTTACAAAACGGCTGGTCATGGTCAAGTGACCATCACATTTCTGATAAACTGACATACCGCATCGCATAATTTCAAAAACAGCGATAACGAAAGTAGAATTTAGCCGTGATTGCTTGGTATTGTAACTGACGAATAGCAGCCACTATTAGCCAACATTAATTTTGGTCATTTCCGACGTGATGAGATGGGAGAAGAAGAAGTGCACATTGTCAATCAATGCTTGCCCTTTTAAGGAATCATCGTCTCTACCAACAGGCAGATATATTCCTTTTTCTTTTAAATATTTTAAGATTATTACTTTCTTTCTGTGAAATGTCTCCATGCTTTGCCACATTATGGAAATGATATTGCCTGATCTTTGAAAATGGTAAAAACGGTACGTTGTTGAGACTATTTTGCTAATATTTTCTAGTTTGTTTTTTTCCTAAACATATTCGACCAGCTCTGGCAGATTTTTACTGAAAGAGCAGGTGACAAGCAAGTATCGTCCAAGATCATTTCTGTGTAAGCTGCTGTGATCGCAGAAATTGAAACAAGGGTTGAGGATTTCTTTTTCAACTTTCCCTCAATCGTTCACGGAAGCAGTTGTCACAAATAGAAAGATTGCCGCCGTTAGCCGAACAGGTTTTTTTTTTTTTTTTAACACAATTGGCAATAATGTCGCCATCTGATTGGCCAGTTTGCCGTTGTCGATGCGAGTACGGTAGCGCTGCTTGTCAACTTGTCACGCTATTGTCAAGCACTGAAACAAATGTTTTATTTGACGTCGACATAGTGGTAAAAACAAAACGGCCGTGGATTAGCGTGGTCTGCACTCTTATCGAAACGATATTCGTCATAACAGTGGTCAAAATTTGTTACGAACTCACACGGCTGTGCCTGGTGAGTCCACAACGTCTTTGAAACCTTTCCATTGGATTCGCAACTGTTTTCTCCACAAATTTACTTGCAAGACCACGGGCGCGTACAATGAGCTATCAACATTCGAAAGAAAAACTCTCTTATAAACTCTCTTATAAACTTCAATTCCAAGCTGTTGCTACATCGTAGTTGAAACTGGAAACTTAGTGCAAAATTATCAATAAAAAAGGGTTCTCCAGTATATTGTGTGTGCTTTTCTTCACTGTAAAAGCAATTATCGATCAAAGAAACAAAATCGAATTTCTTCAGCTTCTTTAAATATGATTTTCGCGCTAATAACGCGATGATTTAACGAGAAAAGGTAGATGTAAAGCAGTTAAAAGATAAAAAATAAATAAATAAATAAGCAAACAAACAAGGAAACAAACGGCACAGCCGAAGCAAATATGAAGCCAAGATGACGGATCCAAGTTGGGGAGAGGGAAGAGGGAGCTGTATATTTTTCGACGAAAACGTGCTTTGCTAATATTATACCTCGTCTCCCAAACCACCCTGCTGAAAAAAGGGTTGGAAGAATTAAGATACAACAGTGGCGACATTCTCGACAATAACAAGGATTGGTATATCTTCGGGTAGACACTATATCCTTTATATTGTAAGAAAACTTCAATAAAGATACGAAGAGTTAATCTCCTCAAATTGCAATCCACGGAAAATAACGAAGTATGGAGTTTTTTTGAGGTCACAAAGACACCCACGTTGAAGGAAACCCAAAATTGACTATTTTCGACTGAGCACTATGATTAGGTCATACCCCATTGAGGCTCAGCCGATTAACCATTTACAGTTACTGTATTTCCTCAAATAAGTGCCCACCCACGAAAATGCGCCCACCCCTGATTAGGTAGCGACTCCATAGTAGGCCATAATGTCAAACAAGCGCCCCTCTCGAACTAAGCGACCGAATATGCTCCAGATAAAACTGGGAAATATCTGAGGATTTGATCCAAGTGACAGTCTCCAATTTTCAAACCCTACACCCACTACGAAAAGTCTTCATTTAAAATTTAATCCAAGATTTGTGGTTGTTACAGAAGAAGGGACGTGATTGTTTGTTTATTGAAACTGAACATCTCACTTAGGGAACATTATGCTGTTTGTAGATCCACATTTTTTCCCGCGTGTTGCAAAAATGTTTGTAGGACATTTAACATATTAAACTCATTTTATTCCATTTTGCACGAAAATATGCACTTATCTTCGTCCTTGCATGTTTCGGGACTTAAACATGAGAACACATTGAAATAAAGAGCAAAACAGCTTCTTTTTTCAGCTTTGTTTCTTGAGGCACTGCAACCATCAAAGTTTGAATGAATGTGATTCAACGGATTTGAATTAATTATTGATACTAATAATTAGGCGAGCCTGAATGGCTAAAAAACTAATGCATTTTTCATTGCACTCGAAATCAAGTTATTGCATATAGTAATTGCTTTTACTCGATGGTGATTTTAAATTTGGTTTCCAAAAAAGGATAAATTTGGTTCATAGGTTTACGTTTGATTCAGAACTTTCAATATTTTAACTGTTCAATCACCCAGCCAGTTAGATACCTGGTTGCTCCTACATGCCATGTAAACGTGATAACACATCACACGTCGGTCATCTAATGTGTTTTTATTGGACAGTAGAACTTAAAACTAGAACACAAAAGACTCACATGTCAAATTTGTCCCAAGCTGTGAGGTTTTCATTAACGCTTCCCCTGTGAACGATCTACATTCTGCAATGGACCCGTCAAACGTGTGGTTTAAAGAAACTCACGGGTAAAATGGAGATGATGCTACAGCGGAATGAGTGAATTTCATTGATTGGTTGTCGTACTTTTCAGCGCTATGTTTTCTTTCTACTCGATTTGTTCGAACTTCAGGAATTGTTTGTCACAAAATATGGAGCCATTTTCTCTTCGCTCAACATCTTGAGGCGTACTTACCGCTCGGGTTATGATGAACTGCTTGTGATACGATTATTTTTTCGTAATGCTGGAAACTGAAGAAGAGGAAGAACTGTTTTTTCTTTTTTTTTTGTCATCAGTGGGCACGGCAGGCAGAAAATTTAGTCCCACACTTTTGATCACTTCCGACAAAATAAAGGACCTTGACGTTTGCCGATTCTCTGTTTCTCGATAGCCTCAACAGGGGAACCGCACCAATGGTTAAGCATGATGCGCAAAAGCGGAAGTGCTTTAAAAAACGTGATTTTTCAACTACTTTTTCGCGAACAGATGACATATCCAGCTCAAGGTCAAAGAGAAAACCTGGGAATATTTGTCAGATTGACTAATATTTGGGTGAAAATGCAAAGAATTGGAAAATAATAGCGATTTTGTTGTCCTTTGGCCGTGTCTACAAATGTCTCAGTGCAGAAGAAAGGTTTGTGTGAATGACAAAAAAAACCCTCTATTTTCATTTCTCTAGCGAAAGAATAAAATTTCAGAAGTTTGCGTTGTCTATGCATTGAAAATCCCTGGAAACTACACTGGAATCAAGAATAGACAGTTTCTTATCTAACTTGAGATCAAGCGCTCGCGAGAGTGGCGTGAAAGTCGGCGGACAGGGGAAGGGCTAAAAAACAACGCCCGTCTGTCAACAGAGAGAGATCTTGACTGAGTCCCGTAGATGAGCCATCACTCATGCCTATTAATTTATTTCATTCATTTTGAACAGATCCTTGATCCATAATCCTGATCCTTGGTCCGGTAATCCTTGATCCTTGATCCAGTTTTTCCAGGAAACTTACTGAACTTGATATATTTGATACACAAGGCAATCTTCAAGGAGGAAGGTTATAATAAAATTGCTTTTATGACCGTATATTGCACCCAGTTTGCATATGTAGATAATTACTTGAAAAATACATATTATAGCTGTCAATTCAGAAGCATAGGCAACACGCTTCTGCTTTATTTTATTTCGAGGGGTTCCTTTTCATGTAACATGTATGCATTCCTATAATTTCCTCCTTAACCTGCCCGCAAATAATTAAATTTCATGTTTTAATTCAAGATAAAAAGAAGTGTTGCAGAGTTCTCTTTCCACATTGATTTCAGGCGAGACAATCAGTTAACCAATTAATGTCATATGCCTCTCCTGAATCTTTGATTTTATTGCCCTGGTTTTTTTCACAAAGCCTTCTTTATATCTGTGTGGCAACTAATGATTAAAACTTCAATGAATAGATATGCCATATTTCAGTAGCTTTTTTCGATTCCATCGTTAAGTTTTGGCAGTTTTACTATTTTAAAATTCATAAATGGCATTCCCTTCATCCTAACTGTAAAGAGATATTACACATTTCTTTATCTATAATCTGAATCATGAAGTTAACTTAATTTTAATGAGTTTGAAACTTCATTCTACATAAGAACACTAATGATTAAAACCTCATTGAATGGATATGCCATATTTCAGTAGCTTTTTTCGATTCCATCGTTAAGTTTTGGCAGTTTTACTATTTTAAAATTCTTACATGGCATTCCCTTCATCCTAACTGTAAAGAGATATTACACATTTCTTTATCTATAATCTGAATCATGAAGTTAACTTAATGTTCATGAGTTTGAAACTTCATTCTACATAAGAACACTATACTGGAGTATAATGTTATGTTTATTTGCTGTTTTTCTGGTACATGACTACCATGTGTGTCGTAACCCTTAATTCCCAAGATTTCTGGAGTAATTCTCACTAATGTCAGCCATGCAATTTATGTGATTCTAAATTGGAGAATTTGGAATTGGATCAACTGATAATCCCCTAATTGATATTTTTCTTTACTCTCAAATACTTTTCTACTTGATATCATACTGATGATGTGAGGAGAAATTTTGTGTAGGTCACTAGTGGGACTTAAAAGGTTTAAAATGGGGGGTTTCATGATATTGTAATGATTAAATTATTCTTATGCTTTCAAATGTAACAAAAAATGTGATGAAAATCTGATGTTAAGAAACACTTATAATGGAAAAACCTGTTGCTGGTAGCTTATGTCTTAAATGTTTCAATTTTCATGGGAAATGCTTTTCTTTGAAAGCCAGGATACATATTAAGTTTTCAAAGCTAATAGAAATGAGCAGTTTGCAAGTAATAAAAAGCAAATTTAGAATCATACCTTAATGCTTGACATGCTAATCACTCATACATGCAAGTAATGTGTGTACCTACCAATGTAGAGGTGCCTTTAAAAATTAATATATTTTTTTACACATGGCACCCTCTAAGGTGGAAGATTAGAAGACCATAGAATGATGTTTACTTATAAGCACTTGCACTGACTGCAATCATATATTCAAACAATACTCTACACATACTAATTACATGATGTCTTTAACCCTTTACACCCTAACATCAGTATGCATATATTCCATAATGTTCTCTATGCATTTCCTAATGCGCTTGCATGGAGAATTTGTTTAACAATCAAGAGGTTCTTAATTCTGTTGATTACTTCATTTTCTCTATTCTCATGACCTCAATATTTCATTCAGGGGTGATCTGAAAGGAGAAATTAGATACTAGTCACTCTCAGGCATTAAAATGTTAGTAACTGTACACATTTATATGCTCCTTGCATTTGTAGGCAACAATAGTCAAGATTGTTCAGGAAAGCAAACAAACAAAATGAACTGGAGACAGTGAAATGAGGGAAACTGTAAACTTTGCCATAAGGTAGAAAAACATCAAAGATTATCCTTAACTGAAGGGAAACTTGAATTGTGCTAGCTTATTTCCTCTATTGCCTTTAATGTATTCGATCAAATAAAATTTAACTCTTTAACTCCTAGATCAAATTTGTAATCCTCCTTTCTGTCAACCATACAATTCTTGTTAGTTCAGAAAATTTAGTGTTGGATCAACTAATTATCCCCTTACTTACTATTAGTTTTTTTTTATTCTCATCACTTATCTGGTTGATATTGTATTGACATTGTAAGGAGAAATTCTGTCCTAGTCACTCATGGGAGTTACAAGATTCATCAGTTGTAGTGTTTGCCTGCAATGTGTCAAATTGCCAGTGTGGACTTGAATTCTTCTCAGATGTCAGCCAGTAAAAGATAGATACTAAAAATAGATGTCCAAAAGAAAAAGTACACATCATCAAAAAAATCATACTGAAGCTAGTGGTGGCATGACTGATTTGTGATATTTAGAATGACAGAAGCAGGAAAAACACATTGAGCTTTCTCCTATTCACCAGTAAGTTAATTAGGTTTTGGATTCTACATTCAAACAGGGTGAGATTTAATCTATTCATATCATGCTTCATGATGGTTTGTTTACATGGAAAGGTAATTGTTATTATAGCTTCACTGATGTTTTTATTGCCATCACAATTAACATTCATAAGAGAGTTTCATTTAACATAGAATGTTTCAAGAACTCTCTTCCTTTCTGTTAAATACCATTTAGTTTTTCTGGAGCACAAAAAAGCAGGTTATTATAAAAATTATAACTTTTGATTTAGGTAATTATTTGAATATGTGCGTAACATTCGATGTTTTCACATGTAACAGGATGATCAAACTGAAGATAGAAAAAAGCATTTATGTCTGTAGAACTACTGTAAGTACGGTACCACCTAGTGACAAAAATTAATGATTTCTTGTGAGCATGAACATTTAGGAGAAGTTATGATGGTAATTGACCCTATTTTGGCAAGGATGCAATAAGGCCTGATGATTGTAATGTACATCTTTTGGCATTCAAACTTTCAACTTTGTATTAATTATAATTGTTCACCATATCTACTTCTCTGTACCTTAAGCCTTCAAAAGTTAAAGCAGGTGAGCCAATATAACCTGATTCCTTTGTTTGGAATTGTGTGATTATATAATTTTGCTGTGTAAGTTACCACAATCTAACATGAAATATGATTATTTAGATTGCATTTAATGCACTAGATAAAGCTTTCATTAATGCATGGTGTTTCTTATCAATGGTCATACCCAAACTAAGCATTAAAATAAGGAACTGGTCTCAAGATATGTGAGTTTTAAAGGGTGGGAATTGCACGCGTAAACTACTGGTCTTTAGGAAATCTACATGTGCATGTGTTTTTAACATATTATGAAACTGAGATTATAACTACTTCAAAAGACTTTACTATGTGCTGCACAGGAACATGCAGGTGTTATAAAAAAATTTGCTTAGTTTTGCATTAGCACACATTTCTTTTTCCAAGAATCTTGTTTATCCAGCCCATGCTGATTTCTAATTTTTGACCAAATTTTATTTTCTTTTGAATATTATTAGATCTCCTAGTATCAGTTAAATAATTACATGAAATCTTGCAGATGTATGGCATATTATTTTTTTCCTCTGATCCTGCTAATAATTTAATATGTGAAGGGACTGGTATTGGCTATAAAAGTATAGTCAAATTAAAGTTTTGTTCACAGCCTATGCACCAAGTCCATGTTATAAACTATTGTATCCTTCCTAAAACTAGTTTATCAAAATAAGAATGAGTTACCAGGCACTAGTATGGCTTTCACAATGGTAGCTTCCAGGTTTGAAAAAGTCACTTCCTTCTAAAATCCTCAGTTCCTTTGCCCTGACAGCCCAAACTCATCAAATCTGCCAACAGGAGTGATAAGCATATTAATGATACAGGCAAGAGAGTCTATTCCCACATACGTCCTCCTCAATCCTGTTAATAGCTTATTATGGACATGGCATTTCAAACATGGTGTATATGTCACAAGTTTTCCATTTTCCTGAATAATTATTTTGTAATAGTGTATAAAAGTTGTGGAAAATGGTCTACTTGCCAGTAGATAGTCAAATGAAAACTTTTTATATATCAATAAATTTTATTGTTGCACTTCATGTTAACATGTTGCAACGGCTCCACCTTCCAGTAAATTCAACCTATTTAATAAAACCAGTAAAAACATCAACTTAACTCTCAAACTGAAGAGAAAACTTGATTGATGTTTGGAATTGATTTCTATGATGTAAAAGTGAAATCCAGGTATTATCTCAAGTTTCCTTAAAGACACCCACATGATGTGCGATTACAACACAGGCTACCGGAGTAAATAACAGAAAAAAAATCTCAAAAAGACGTCGTGCATTTCAAGCCAGAGAACAATCATGACACAAAATTAGCCAAAAGCGAAGAAGTAATTTGAAAAATTACAGGTTCAAACAAGAGTTGAATATTACTTTTCTTTTTAAGTTTCTACGCTAAATAGAGGAGGTTGAACCGTTAGGGAATAGCGGTGGGGCAAGCAATCGCACCTGGCAACTTCAAGAGAAGATATAAGAGAAGGCCATGCGATTCTGGCGTTTTACTGACTCTCCGTACTCACGTGTAAATTTTTAAATCGACCAGGATGTCTTATGCAAAGTAGTTTAGCATCGTTTCTTTCAATTTTCGCTCATTTTCCCACATTGAAATTATAAGCCACGCTCAATAGAATATAATTTCAACTGATGCTGACCTCATACAGTTCATCCGAAGACGAAACATTCCCTATCTTCTAAAATTTGCTCAAAACATTTAGAACAACGACGAAGGTCGTAAGCTGTTTGATATACCGCTGACTAGGATAGGATTGTATTTTTAATTTACAATCAGTAAACTCAACGTATTTAGAAGCTTTAACCATCAAAATCAAACTAAAAGGGTTTTAAACGTTATTCATAGAAGAATCCATAATTTAAAACCACCTTAATAAAGCTAGGATTAATAAATAAATTAGTTGAGAAGTAAATATATTAATGCTGATAGCGTAGTATGATTGTCTGGGAAAGGGAATTTAATTTTAAGTGATAACAATTTTCCTCTCCATTCCGCTCAGCGAGACATTGGAACTGGTGCCCATCACTTTCATGGACATTAGCTCTTTTCAGGACTATCAGCGCTGCGCGATCGACGGTTCTCTCTAAGTTTAAGCAGTTTCTACGGCGAACTTTTCTTGTTGTCGTACAGCTGGAAGTTCAAGAACAAGAAGTGTTATCGATGACCCTGAAGTATCTAGAAACTACGCATGAATGGTGATAAGTATTACTGTTTTTCTCTCAGAAAGTTTTCTTAAATTTCTAGTTTCGGCAGTCCTCTTTGAAAGTGCCGCTATATTGTTAAGTACATCCCGCGTTTCTAGAAGAGTACCCAACACTTCCATTTTTAATCTCGTATCTTAACCAGCAGTTGATATCTCTGACAATGTTCAAGCCATTTGCATCAATCTCAGACATACCTCGATTGTCTCTTGACGTCATCCAGTGACTGAATAACATTAGCAGGGTAATTAGTGGTTAACTTAAAGATCCAAAATAGACATATCAGACATATCATACGATCATTCCGTCACAGTGAGCCCGGAAGCGACACGATTCATTTCCACCGCTCTTAGAAAGTATGTCACCCCCTTTCTTTGCAAGGGTAATATAAGTAACAATTTTTTTTAAAAAAATGAAAGGAAAGTGTGTACTCCAAACACTTTGAAGTAAAAGCCTTCCTTTCCCTATTAAGAAATTCTGCGAACAGCTTTTTGAAGAAACAGAAAGCGAACAAGTCGTCAACACATCCCCCACTGAATACATTTTGAGTTATAAGGAAAAGAAGCGAGTTGTTTTTCGAACGCGATTAAGTAAAGATAAATATCTTCCTAAAATTTTTTTCCTCGAACAAAGCATTGAGAGGTGGGGGCCGCCCTATTTGACGTCATTAGCTATCATTTTGTCACTTTTCGTGGATGCGGAAGTAGGAGTTGTGCTTTTGATATATCATCTCTGGTTGATTATCGAGACTTATAAATGGGGAAGGCAGCCTCTACAACTTTGAAGCCAAGCGATGTGAACACAGATGGACAAAATCAAGTGTTACAAATCACAATCAAGCGCGGAAAAGACGATACATCAAGAGCGAAGCCACTTCCTAGCTTGCAGTTAGAGGTTGATCTCGGTGACATTGTCTCTCCGTGCATCGATGTTATGTTCATCTGTAGTGAGTGGGGCTCTAAAAAGGGAGGACTCTCAACGTTCAATAGAGAGCTAGCTGTGAATCTAGCAAATATATCAAACGGCAGAATCAAGGTTCACTGCTACGTATCTGAAAGCAGCGAAGCGGAAAGGCAAGATGCAAGCAGTAAAGGAGTGAATCTTATCACCGCTAAGCGCTCTCCAGGATCTAGCGATCCCTTGGATTGGCTAAAAACTCCGCCGTCAGATAGATTAAATCCTGATGTTGTGGTGTCTCACGGGAGGAAATTTGGTAGCGCCGCTTATTTCATTCAAATGATCACAAACTGCCGTTGGATACATTTCGTGCATGTCAATTGCGAAGCTCTTGGAAAACACAAATTGGAATGTAGCGTCACGGCGGATGCGATTGCAGATAACGAAGAGAAGAACAGACAAGAACTCGAACTCTGCAGAGCATCTGAGTTAGTTGTTGCAGTAGGCTCTCTACTACAAAGAAAATATCAAAGAAGTCTGCCAGATATTAAAGTAGAGGTCATTACTCCAGGGATTTTCGAAGAGTATATCAATCCGGCTGCAACGCAATCCGAGCGTGAATTATCAGAGGAAGACTTCAGTATATTTATGTTCGGTCGTGGAAGCTTTGAGGACTTTTCCCTCAAAGGATATGACATCGTTGGAAAGGCTGTGGCTTCTCTGGAAAGAAAATTTGAGCTCACATTTGTCGGTGCGGCACAAGATGAACAACGGAAGATAGAAACGTGGTTTCTGGAGGAAACCAAAATATCACGTAACCAGTTAACCATTCGTGGCCTCTGCAGTTATGAACAAATTAAAACAATGTTACGTGAAGCAGACTTAGTCGTCATGCCGTCCCGCACAGAGGGCTTTGGTTTGGTTGCGCTGGAGGCAATATCAGCTGGTGTGCCTGTTCTTGTCTCCAGTGAAACTGGAATTGCCAAAGCCCTTCAAGACTTAGAGAATGGGATGTCTGTGGTTGTCAAAACAGATGTATCTGATGAATGGGCGAATAGAATCTTTCGTTTGTCAGAACAGACACGAAGAGACAGACATATTACTGCCTTGCGGCTTAGAGAGCAATATAAGTTAAAGTATTCGTGGGAGAAAGAGTGCAAGAAATTTGAGAAGATGATCCTTGAGTTAGTGAAAATCACTGATCAAAATGAAATTCCCTTAAATCTTCGTTTGACAGGTATGCATTTTTTTCCTTATGTTGTTTTTGCATAGTTTACCTCAAAATGCTTCAATACTAAGAAATTTACTTCCAACTGGAAAGTCTGTGAATAGGCTCAGATGTAATTTCAAGTAATGAAGTCAATTTGACCCTAATTGCTCAGATTCCCCTATGAATAAATCAAATTTTCTCATAAGTGGAAATTGTTTGTGTGTATTGGATAACCTTCAATTATGAGCATCAACTGGTGAGATAATTTGTCTGATCTGCGCATATAAAATTCACAGTTCCCAGAAAATGAAAGCCTTTTCAGTTTCCAAGTTTTCATCATTGTTAAAAATGTTTCATTCTAAACATTAAGTTGAATTCAACCTACTAAGTAATGTTTATAATTACAAAAACACTTTGTGTATGTGTAGTAAAACCACTGTGTTGATTAATGTGTTGCCCTCAAAAGTGAAGATGTATATTGTATATTCACTGAGTCCTCTGTGGACGTGAGTTTTTACTGGGATCTCTGTATCTCTGCGGACATAATCTGATCATGATGCAGGAATATTCAATTATTAGACAAAACAACTCTGAAGGATGCTCTGAAAGCAGTTCTCAAAGTAGATGACGTACAATCTCCCAAAAGTGAAGACGGGGAGCTGTTAAACGCAGGTGTGCAATTTGTGCCATAAGAATGTTTTCAAGGGGTAAGAATGGGGCCAGGCAGTAATTACAGGCAACAAATGGTAAGAAACACTAATATCAATGAATTTGGGGCATGAAAAAATTTTGAAGTAAAACTATCAAATGACTTAAATTGACAATCTATGTTCTTAAGTGCGTGATCAGTTTAAGATTTTGCTTAAGTAATGGTGTTGCCAAAAAATTCATTTTGACCAAATTAAGTTTTCGTCAAAATGACATGATGTTAAAACATAATGGAATTCATGCCACTGTATTAATTATTTAATTCATATGGCTATATGTTTTTTTCTGTTGCTTGAATTTTCTATTTTTCAAATGCCTCTTGATTTTTTTTTCATGAACGCTTCTTTATTGGTTGTGACCGCATGAGTGATGAATCTTATTTCCATCTTGAATAGATCCAAACATTTTAAATAAAAAAACAGAGCGAACCGAGAGAAGAAAAGAAGGAGAGAAAGCAATAGGTATGCATGTGAACCTGTTTTTTAGTGTGTCAGAAAAAGCTATGTCTATTCTCATCACCAGCTGTTATGGGAATTAATATGTTATTACATTTTTGTATTTCATCCTCTGAATTAAGATCCAGGAACTTCAGATAAAAAAGCAAAACAAATAAACAGCAGCCGCCAACGTGTAAAACAAGCAGGTATGTCCATCAACGTCATGTATCACTTTTCATATAACGTGGTGAAATTAATACTATAAATCTATTGGGACTGTTTGTACAACTAGCTCTATTTCTATCTGCAGCCTTTAGAGATATATAAACGCGTTACTGTTGTACTTTGTCTTGTGTAGATCCAGACACTTCCAATAAAAAAGCAGAACAAACTACAGAAAGAAAGACAGGTGGGCAAGGGGCAGCTACATATATTTAACATATTTTGTAAAGTGCCCTTAAAAAATGCAAATCATTTCTTGTTTCAGTACCTTTTGTAGACCCAATTTAGTGAGGATATTTCGATATCCTCTCTACTGATATGAGGGCATGATTTAATTATTTTGACCACAGATGGAGCCAGGTCTTTCTTTGATTTGTGAACGGTAAACAGCTGTCTGGCTTTCATCAGAAAATTACAACCTATTTAAAACTAATTAAGAATTATTTTGAGTTAACATACAGAAAGTATTATATAGTGTGCATAAACTGAACAGTTCCTTGAGGCAACATATTCTTGGGAACCCAATGTCGGCTTGTTGTATATTCTACCAGTCCAGTATTTTTGGTATTGGTGAAATGATCCAAGGAATTTAAAATTTTAAAAGCAGTGAAATAGATAAAAAAATGACTGGAAAGAGCTAATACTCTGAGTTACGGAGGTGTATTAATTGCAGTTTATAAATACACTTAAATCAGTTTCCGGTGCAGATTATGACACCTTAGATAAAACAAGAGAAACACAAAGGGAGGCAAGAAATTACCTTTTTTAAAATGTTATTGGTTACATAACTTTAAATAAACATTCTGAACCCAGGGATAATTTTGATTGTTCATACTCTCACTCTACAGGTGAATAAAAGTCAGCTTTTTCTTTATTTTGTGTACAAGTCCACAGCTGCTTACTTTCATAGCTTTCTGTAGGATTAAATTATAAGAAATTTAGAAGCTGTTTTAAATTGATTAACATATTCTAGTTTGGTTCTTAAAATATACAGAGTACTCTAAGATGAACATTTCCTTTCAGTGCTAATAATAAAAATCCCAAGACTTTTCATTTTCACTGACTTCCTAAAATCATCATAGTACTTAAAGATCGTCATGATTGTAACATCAGTGTTGTCATTCTATGCAGCTCCAGGCACCCCAAATGAAACAAAAGAACAAATACAGGAGGACAAGGAAGTAGTGCAAGCAGCAGGTATGTAATATTTACCTACTTGCAGGATCCTCGAGGTAAACAAAAACTCCTGTAGAGGAGTGTTGTCAGTGACAGCTGAGACTAATATTCTGAAAATTTCAGCAGATGTCATCTTGAGAGTCAAATCACTTGACTAATAATAACTTCACAGCTATCACCAATACCGTGAGACCTTATCAGAAGTAGTTTTACCTCAAGCGTCAGATTATTTTACGGAGAAAAAGCTGTCATTCAATTTTACTGAGATTGATTTATATGGCCTCTAATACGCTAAGAAAGTAAATTTTTGACCCGTTATACGATCAGAATTTAATCAAAAGTCAGGTTGGCGTCTGAAATTTTGTATTTTTTTTCAGACCTAATCAATCTTTTGTGGTTTTTGTTTTTGTTTTTATCTTTTTAAGACTAAAAATCTGGGTTAAAATGGGGGAATCAATTAGGTTTTTTTGTCAGAGACAATATAAGAGTTTCAAAAGGCAATTGCCCAGTCATCCTACTCTAAAAAATTCGGAGGTACCCTCCTTAGTGCACATTTAATACTAATTATTCATAGTATTACCCTGGGTATTTAGAGTTTCTTAGGTATAATTATCTTAAGTTTTCATGCAAGTTCAGATCTACAGACTGTCAACAAAAAAGAAAAGAAAAAATGAATGCATGAAAGGCGTTGTTTACATTACATAGAAATGGTCAAAAATGCGATGTGCTGCTAAAATGTGATTACTTTCACATCATTTACTATGCTGTTTAATTTTACTGGTATAATATACTTTATTATAAAGTTCGGAGATAATGCGCGTTGTCTTTGGTTGAAAGAGCGCGCTCTATTAGACTACGTCTCGTGTTTGTCCCCACTCTTATTTCGTACTCTCACCGCTTCCTGTGTGCTTTAAAACAGACCACAACACAGTCAAGGCTTCTCCATTTGTTAAGTATGTGAAGTTAAATGTTAGCAAAACTGTAATGGAGAGATGCTAAATTGAACGGAACTCAGACTTCAGAGATTTTATACAGTATGTGTAAAAACTTTTATGGCTATGAAATTTTCAGCCCCCATTCTATAAAAATCTTTTTGCAAATGTCAATAGAGGAGATGTAATTTTTATCCTAGTTGTTTAATAATAAGTTTAAGACTACTGAGTTAACTATACTACTAAAGCAACTCCTGGAGGGTTTGTTTATGCTCATTATCCGTGTTTACAGTAACTGAAATACTCCCATAATCCTTCAATCTCACCTTCCATAAGTAATGTTTGTCTCTCATTTTCCTTCCCTAACAACTCTATCGTAGGTGACGCTTATGTGAACCAAGACATGGAGGAAAGTGTTGTTCTGCTTTTCTCTGCTGCAAGTGAAGGTGATGTCGCTGAAATTGAATCCTTGCTCTCTCGTGGAATTTGTATTAATTCGCGAGACTCGCAAGGCTGGACGCCGGTAATGATTGCTGCTGGAAATGGCAAGGTACAAGCGGTGAAGTATCTGATCAGTAGAGGAGCTGATCTGGGTCTGCGAGACAACAATGGCAGGAATTCGTTACATTGGGCCTCACTATGTGGTGACGTTGTTGTCATCCAGCTACTGGTCAGTCATATGACTGATATTGACCCAAGAACTGCCACTGGTAGGACGCCGCTAATGCTTGCTGCTGAAAATGGAAAGGTGCAGGCGGTAAGGTGTCTGATCATGAAAGGAGCTAATCCGGCCTTACGACACAGGACTGGATGGAATTCGTTACATATAGCCTCACGGTATGGTCACGTTGATGTCATTGAGCTGCTGGTCAGTCACATGACAGATATTGACTCGGAAGATGCCTGGGGTTGGACGCCGCTAATGATTGCTGCTGAATATGGCAAAGTACAGGCGGTGAAGTGTCTGATCAGTAAAGGAGCTGATCTGGCTTTACGACACAGGATGGACTAAAGAAATGTCCAGGGTAGGACGTTGCAAATGATTGCTGCTGAATATGGCAAAGTACAGGCGGTAAAATGAGACGACTGAGGAAGGAATTTGTTACCTCAAGCTACATTTAAGGGCATCAAAGGCATTATTGACACAGTACTTTCTCAGTGAGTTGACATTGAATCCAAAACCAAGGATGGTGAAACCCCCTTATGATGACACGGCGCCTTGGACTTACCGAGACAATGAGTTATCTTCTTAGTAAAGGAGCCAAGTCTAACTAAGAAAGAGTCAGACAAGTGCTCCTTCACGCATGCTCAGTGAAGCTGAGTTGTCTCTTGATGTTTTGTCAGATGCCAATCGTGAATGGTTTGAATACGAGATTTTTCAGCTTCTTACACAGGGCTTTTCCCTTCCCAGAGAATCGGGAAAAACACTGGGAATAACTTAACGGATTGTTTCAACGCAAACGTCATGTTGGCAAATTTTCTTGAGGTAATTTAAAATGACAGGCTTTGTCGAGTGTGTAGAACTGAATAATTATAGTCTCTTCACTAAACGAAGAAGGCCAATTGTATGCTAGTATATATTCCAAATTCTCCTAAAAATGAGTACTCATGCTCAATTATTCAAACTCTGTAATCCCTTTCAAACTTCTGCTATTTTTGTATTGTAAACATTTGCCAAAGTTCTGTTTTCAGCCGTCTACTCTACGCCTTTCACCTGGGTTTAAGAATTTATCCAAATACCGAAAGATCCATTTTTGTAGAAACCCTGCTTTTCGTCATCAAAGTAAAATATTTGAGTGGGAGAGAAACTGAGATCAGAGAATAAGTTTTAAATTATATTTGATCAGTTTGGAATGCCTGAGGAGATATTTCTGTTACAAGATATATAGTGCACTTTGATATTCTCACGTTATTTTCGTAATGGAGGAAAGGATATGCAACTATTTTTATGGATATTTTGCAAAATTAAGTTTAGGTTTAAAAAATCAGAAAGTAGTTACGTCTATAAACAAAGTTAATGTCTGCACGTTATGTATTTTTGACATTTTTTACTCGGTTCAGTATTTTTCTAAATAACTTTTGACAATGTAATGAGAGGGGAGAATATCTCAATAGTTGAATGTAACGAAAACTATAATTAACATTACCACACTCAACATTTTTATGTAGAAAAGGAGGTAAACGTGACTGAGAAAAGCCATCACACCAGGAGCCCATTACATGGGCTTCTGATCACACGTTGAATTCGACGTGTCCCAAAGCTGTATTTCATGTGATAAGGCTTTTGAAAGTCAAGTTTGCCCAGTGGAAATTGTAGATCATAATGGTTTTGATACAATTATAGCTGACTAAAGTTTTCTATTGGAAGAACGATATCTGTGACTCTCTGGTTTTTAAATTTTTTAGAGAAAATGTTCTTAGAGTTAATTTTCTTAGGGTTCTAAGGAAAGTTCTTTTGCTCGTACTCAGACCTTTCACGGCCAAGCAGTTGTAACATTTCAGTTACAGTCACAAGATAGGGTTTGGGTACGAGATCATGAAATTCTGGTCTATAAAATGACAGGATGTTTGGTTTGCTTGTGTTTGGCAGCTAGGGAGGGATGGTTAGGCAATGTTCCATTATTTTCTACTACGCCCGCTTATCGGAGTTGAAGATTCCGTACAGCTAGGCAAAATCCTGAATCACGGCAGGACATTAGACAGCGAGTGGTGTTAAAATTATTTTTGAGTTTCGCGAAAGTTTTTTTATTAAAAGGCTTATCACACATATCATTTTTTGGGCCAACTTTATGAAGTGAAAAGGGCTAGAGAAACCTCATGGCCCTGGGTGTGGTCTCTGTCTATTTTCAGGGACCTGCTGTTCAAAATGTCATCATTCAGGGAAAGTTATTTTTCACTTATGCAAAATTCATCTTTATTGAAAGATGCATCTTGTCGACAAAACCAAAAGCAGATTTTCAGTATTGATTATAAATAAATTTTGCTTCTGTTTTACTCTGGAGCTTTTTAGCCATCCAATATCCTTATCTGACAGGTAATCTACTCGGTGGGCATCTCTAACCTGATGCAAAATAAATTTCCATTAATATTCTGTCTTAAGGGAACACTAGTCTTCACAATGGACGTCAAGGAGGTTCCCAAAAGTAAATATTTACCACAATCAATTGATGCAATTCTGGAGACTTTTGCTATCATATATGATGGTTTAACTTTTATGTTATATTTTCTTCTTTTCTCGAACATTTCTGAGGGAAATTCCCTCCAACAAATTTTACCCTTTTGCTAACGTTTCCTATGTTTTTGAGGCTTTTCATCCTGCGCAGATTCAAACATTTGCAATACGACAGCGAGTGCAAGCCGCTGGTATAAGAACTTGTATGTTAGTTTACTAAACATGTTGACTTTGTAGAAGTGTCCACTATTTACGCCACCAAAATATGAGATGTGTATCTCATCCTCAACAGGTTGAGGTAGTACGCATAAAGTGGCAGTAGACACAAGTGGAATCATCCAAGGAGTGCAAGCAGTAAGTATGTACATCAGCCTGTTTTTGCAGTATGATCAACTGAACCAAAAATGTTGTTTACTTATATAACCTTGTATACTAGACGAGCTAATAGTACATTTCACCCACGGTGATTGGCCAGTTCAGAGGTGACTAGGAAGTACTGTTCACCCACGAGCAGCCAAAGACCTGAACTGACCCTGCCATAAATGCGAGCAGGAAAAATGGAAACGACGTTCCATGTTTCCTAAACCTATATCTGAGATTCTGTAGAGATATTGGAGAGATATTAAGCTGAGAATGATAACTGTGAAATAATCAACGCCAAAAGTAGGATTGTTGTTCTTTCAAATTTATTTGACTTTTGCTTTTTTGGAATGTGACAGGAGTGCATATTAAGTTTTTTCCCTTTGTTTTTGTAACAACTGTTTTTCTTTCGTTTAATTTACACCTTAGTTTTAATAAAGATTTTTTCTTTGTGTAATAACCTCGTTGAATAAGTAGAATGTAGTTTTTGAATCATTCCAGTGTCTTAAAAATTCTAGAAACGCAAATTTCAATTCGCAAACTAAC